TTAAAAAAACCTACACTGGTCTCCTAACAAATTTCTTTAGTTTTATTCCATCATGCTACAAAATTGGCCTTATCCGAACTCTTATTGACCGTATCTACAAAATCAACAACACCTCTTCCGGCCTTCAAAACGATCTTAAGAAACTTTCCGACACTTTAAAACGTAATTCTTTTCCTTCGCATATTATTGAAAGAACTTTCAAGCGGTATCTTGACGGGTCCTCCTCTCAAAATAGCCGGAACATTGATGACAATAATACACGTTACTTCAAACTCCCCTTTGTCGGCTATTATTCTAAAATAGCGAACCTCAAACTCCGACAACTCACTTAGCGCTTTTTTAAATCGGACCTAAATATCAAACTAGTTTGTCTGCTATTTTATTTTAGAACTATTACTGATATTCATGACATGCATGTACTAAGCATGAGTACCTTGTAAAAAGAAAAACTTGCAAACTCGAAATGGAGGTGGATCGTGGTGAATGTGCACCAATCACTGACACTGACGTGAATACACTTTTAAAACTTTTGGTGGATCAGAAATTGCCGTGCGACGGTAAATCTCACCAAGCGCTGCCTTTTTTTTCTAGCATTAAACAGAAGCCTCCCATGCAATACAGTCGAGAGCTTTTAATTCAAAATAATAAATTCAAGTTTTGATCGCATTGGCGCAGTTAGCCCGCTTTTTTCGCAACATTACCCACCTTAATAATAATAATAATAATAATAATAATAATAATAATAGTAATAATAAGCTTTATTTTAACTGATAAAACTAATCAGTAATCTAATAGGTTGGCTGGTATAAACTAGTGATCAGCGTGATGAATAGTGTCAATCAAAATCAAAGGAGAAACCCTATAAAGAACTAAAGTCTGAGTTAAAAGAACAAAAATGTATAGAAAAGCTAATACTTATTTTAAACTACATAAATGATTAGATTTATCGTATTAAAAAAAAACGTTTAAAACCTATTGCCTTAAATTTAGATAAAGACTGTATCTCTCGAATTTCCTTTGGTAAAGATTCCACTCCCTAGCAGCATTACATTTAAATGACGTTTGAACCGTTTTTGTCTTTGTAGCAACAATCTGTTCAATAACCTTCTTTGAAGACTATAAATAGGAATGTATACTAATGAGGAGATCGAAATTTATGTCCCCTATCTCCCCCATTATGCTCTTTATTAATCTTATAAGGTCCCCCATTAGCAGCCAACTTTACGCAATTCCCCCTACACCGTTTCCGAGGACTGGTCCCTCCTCCGTTTCTCCTGAAGACCATGGATGTGATACCCCCCCCCCCAACATCCGCTACGTCTCCAGGAGGTAGATTATGTTTGTTCTCTTACCAATGCTGCCGGTAATTCTGCTAACGGTTTGTTATTATGTAGTTACGTGAGGAGGGTGTGTGCCGTGTCGGAGAAACGTGTCAGCAAAGGAAGCATCATAAGTGCTAAGTTGTTTATGCTAGCTGGTATTATTTTTCGAAAAAGGGGAAAAAAAGTGGAATCCTCGTGATGACCATGCTCTCATTTGCGTAAGGTAACTTATAAGTTCTTCCGCATATGATTTGCACACATTTACTTTCAGCGGCCGGGCAAGCTGATTCGTCGTCAAACTTTGAGTTCCTATAGACTTGATGAAAATTCCAAAGTTTCAATATCTGGATGCAACTTTTAGGACTTAATTACAGACACGGGTAAAAACATCTTTGAATGAGGAACATTCCTCGTAGGCCGAGGTCAAGCCTAATTAACCTTCCCGTTGATGCTGAGCACGACTACGGAAGTTATACTGATCTGAAGCACCCAACAGAGTCGAATGTTGTTTTCCCCGAAAGATGGACTTCCGCTAGTCTTGAGGGAAGTTCTTATAAATCAATGAGTGTTAAGCATTCCATTCAGGTGTAAAACCTTATAATTCCACTTAAATTTCAGCGGAACGTAAAGTGGAGAGAGTGGAGAAGGAATTTCTTATAGATGTCACATTGTGCCACACAGAAGACAGAAAACGGGACATGAATTATTCAATAAGGTAGAGTAGAGTGAGCAAAGCTTATGCAATCATGCAAACTCCTTGTCCCATCTACATGATTTTCCATTAAGTTTTCATCGAGTTCAAAATATAGATTTTTATTGCAAAATGACATCTTCATGAAAGCAACAGATTTCCTTTTCGCATACTTTTCAGATCTCCCGAGATGAGTATTATCACCCATTTGTTATTACTGTCAGGGCTATTGCCCTTAGTCAGTGGGCGAATCGACGAGAATGGTTTTGAAACTGACCGGGTGAGTTGTAAAGAATCAACTATTTGATTAACCGTGGAGTCCTAACGGTAAACCCATGCAGAAATGGTTTTGACTAATTACATGTCACCGGTAAATAGCTCAGGCTCGCACACTGAGTACTAATTATGTAAATATGTTTATGTCGCACAATAGGCGAAATATTGATGTAAACATTCCATATTTTGTGAGTTGGCTTGTATTTTTTCTACCGAGCCCCATGTAAAGGCGGAGAAAGACGCAAGCAATCAGCTAAGTGTCCCCTTGTACAGTCGAACCTCGATTATCCGAACTCGTTGGAACTAGACGAAATAGTCCGAATAATCGAGGGTACGGATAATCGAGGATATGAATATTAATGAGGAACAAAAACTGATTAAATTAAGAAAGCGACATTTAATCGTGAAAGAAAACATTTACAAATCGTTTTGAAAAAAATTTGTCACTACATCTTCACTGTCCATCGTTGATATCTCTGCACGTGCGTATTGAAAAGTGCTTTTACATTGGCCTAACATGTTGAAGTAAGTCAGTTTGTCTTAAAGAAGAACATCGCGTGCGTAAGGAGCGTTTCCCCATTTTTCGAAGCTGCACAATCTGAATAGCGTAAACACTGTTCTGTCTTTCCATCCATAATAAACACTTTTTAAAACATTCAACAGCTTCAGAGTTCGAAACAATTTTCTCATGTTGGCCTTCATCTTCCTCATCGCCGTTACTTTCATCTTCGAAAGAACACTAACTTATGTAGCTTGTTTATTTTGCATACCACGCCGAACGAGCCAAGAGGGTGTGAAATCTCATCTTGCTACTACAAAGGAACTCTATGCCAGACCTCATTCGAATGTTCTTCATTACTTACAACGCATGCGAACGCTGCTTTTGCTTTTTGAAAGTGAGACAAACTCGCCTTTACTTCACTTTTCAACGCTGTAGTTTTAAAAAGAATAAGACTACGGATCTTGATCATGACTAATGAATATTCGGGACCAGAGAAAAAGTCCGGATAACCGAGAAATCCGAATAACCGAGAAATCCGGATAATCGAGGTCCGAATAATCCGAGGTTCGGCTGTATTATGCGAAACGATCGATCGAATAAGGAATTTCTCATTCCATCATTATTTCATTTTCTAGTATTTTGGCTTCGAGTTTTCGAAGCTTCCTGACTTTTCCATGGCCTTACCTGAACGTCTTACCGATTGCACAGAGTCGGAACGCGTGGCCAATCGCACATTGCAACATTATCGTACTTTGCAAAAAAAAAAAAGGTGTCGCACTTTGAATAACAGTCCATCCTACTTTGTAATAAAACAAGGTGTCGCACCGTGACTTTGAAATAAACTTGGTAACGATGGTTGCAGGTCAAGCTAAGTAGATCCAAGCAGGGGCGTTCCGTTGCACTACAATTTCAGCAATATATATAACGTGCTTTTCTGGGCTCCATAACACGATAAAGCCACGCGGGATGCTGGGAAAACACGCCGGTGAGGAAAGCTTATAAATCACAAGCCGAAGGCAAGTGATTTATAAGCCTTCCGAGTGTTCTCATAACATCCCGCGTGGCTCTATCACGGTTTATAGTTCACCACTAAATTTTCTCCGGTTCTTATTGGTTTAAATCGATCACGTGACGTGATAGTGTTCATTCCTGGTGAGACACTATCAGCCCATACTGCCCGCCCGCGGAAAATACCCGGATGGATAGTGCCCGTCCGCGTGAAATACCTGGATTGATAGTACTCATCCGTGAAAAGTTTTTAATAGTTTGACGACCGCGAAGTTAGGCAGATCTGAAAAACAGCGACTTTTCAATTCTGACAGGTATAACGTATTATTTAGCCAATGTACGGTTGCGAATTCTTGACATTTGTGACAAGCTGTAGGCGCAGAAGAAAATTTAGTGGTGAACAATGAAAACAATAGAGTGTTTATGTCTCGGAACTATCGGTCTGTACTATGTTCATTTATGTTCTAAGGTAAAATGGCGTGGTGGTCAAATCAAATGAAAGAGAATTTGTTGAACGTTCAAAAAGTAAGCAAAACAAAACCAAAACGGTGGGGAGGGCCCGCATTTGATTAAGTACTTAACAGAATGGTAGTTCAGCCGAGGGGGGTGAATAGGTTAACGGATCGGCGGATTCTGAGAATTATTTTGCTCGGATTTCGGATTTAGAGCAAAATTTTAACGGATTTGTGGATTCTGAAATTGCAACGGTTCGCGGTTTTGTCAATGTTTTTGATTTTGCTTGTGAGGAAGTTCGGATTTTGGATCTGAACGATCCTCAGAAATGCGTTGTTTTCTGAGTATGTGTATTTTTTTGTCACGGACGAGACTCTCTGCATGTCACGCATCAGGGAAATAGTAGGGAGCTTAAGATACAGACGTTTTCGGGGCGCCGGCGACGTGACAACCCAGGTAGACTGGTTCATAGGTTGCCGTTTTCGCGCCATAATTTAAGTTGTTAAGATTCTGATGACGGCCGGCCTTTGCGACTTCGTCGAGTTTATTTGTCGCGCTTTACAAATGAAGGCTTTTTTGTCGTAGCATGGCTACGTTTGAAGAATTCCGCCACTCCTCGTCCTTTACTACGACGCTAAAAAATGTGTCAAGCTGGTTTGTCCATTCCTTTGTGCTGAAAAAAAGGAGTCGGAGTTAGAATAAATTTGGCCGCGAAACAAGAATTAAAGACACTTTTCATAGAGCTACATTATGATAAGAACATCAATGTCCTATGGCTTTAAGATCTTATAATTTGAAATATGAGAGATGTACAAACAGCAACAGCTCGTTCTAATATCAATTGGAGTCGTTACAAGAACTCAGTTCCACTGAATTAATACAGTTAGATGCCTTTAGAGATACTCAACTTACGGTAGCTCCTACACTGCCGAAGTAGCCTTTAGCTACATAAGGAAAGTCCGATGCAATAAAAAACTTTATTTAAGTATATGACGTTTCAGTCCAAGACTCCTTATCCGTGATACTGTACCCCGCCGATTGCAACTCGCTCGATGGGCAAGCCATTGCCTAGCTAACACACAACAGCTCAAGGTGTGTTTTTCACCTTTTTACGAGGTAAGTAGCGAACGGGTTCGGATTTAACAATTTTTTTTAACGGACTGGCGAATTTGGTTATCAAATCGTAGTGGATCGGCGGATTTGCATACCCCTATTCACTCTCCTCTCAGTACATTGAAATTATAAACTTGTGAAACATTACTATTTCGCACGACTACTTCTTGAGTGAATTTAATTGAATTAAACTCTGTACTCCATTCATGAGGGCAGTGTGACAACGATATGGAGACCGATGGGTCATCAAAGGTCTCCAACTTCTCGATTGTAGAATCCACGATGAACTAAATAGATTTTTATCTCACTTAAAAATACTCTTTTTTATAAACAGGTCAAGCGAAACAGTCAAGGAACAGGATCTTATAGAGACTGGCAGTGGTATTTAGTAAGTCACAAAAGCACTTTAGAGATGATGATCAAACATGGCAACATATATTAGTGTTAAACTGGAGTCATTATATTTTTTGTCCCGCTGCCAAAAGGAAAAAAACAGTTTGATGAAGATCACAAACGCTGTAATAGATATTTTTTTGAGAAGCTTGCGATTGAACAAATAGCAAGAGAAATTCCTAGGTATTACTGGCCTTGAAAACTAAGTATTCCTCTTTTGTTTACTTCAATTCTTTTTTGACTCTGAAATCAGTCAAAATAACTGAATCAAATTTCACTTTATAAAAGTCAAAGTATCTCGAAAGTAAATAAAACTAAGAATTCTTAGAAATACTTCGGAACATACTGTCAGTATTACATGTAGTATCCCTCTTTTAGCAAATCTCCCATGAAATACTCTTAAAATGAACTAAAGAATAGGAGACTAGCTTTCTTTACCTTAAGTCATATCTGTTGTACACGGTTGAGTCCAATATTTTCTTTTTGGTCTCAGAAAAGCACGCAACCATCAATGAACGTAGGAGCTGCATGGCGGGCTGGGTACACAGGCAAAGGTGTACTTGTTGCTGTTGTGGATGACGGAGTCAACATGAATCATCCAGACCTGGAATCAAATTTTGTAAGTCTTTCTACATATGCACATGGCAAAAAAACAAAACTTTGATTGAAATCGTATACCTGTTGAGATCTTGGGATCAACACAGAGCGAACTCCTGATCCCAAAAATATGAAGTATTAATAACATTAGATTGGACAAAATTCATTTTTTCATTATTTGCTTCTGTCATCAGAATGTAGAATCAAGCTATGACTTTTGGAGTGGCAGAAACATAAGCAAATCGCACAGTCCTGGCAGGTATGTTATGACCTTCATCGGTAGACACTTATTTGGAGTTAGGATCTCACTTGGCGTTTAAGACACAGCTGACGTAAAACAGTACAGAATAAGCTACAAAAGAACTAGAAAAACAATGAAAACAAAAAGTTTATGAGGTAGTGTTCTAATGCGACGTGTCTTGTATCTTCTATACCAAAAAGGAGCCTAGAGTTGCCAAAATTTCAGTCCCATGTATAGATAATATCAGGGGGTCGTGAATTACTATTATCATTATTAATATTATTATTATTATCACTATTATTTTATGATTTAGTGTAAACATTACAATGCTAGCGATGCCAGTGCAATCATCACCCATTTTGATTTGAATAAATTATATTTTTTGTGTGCTATTTTTAGTCACGGAACATACTGTGCTGGTGTCATTGCTGGAGAAAACAATAACAATTGTGGAGTTGGTGTCGCCTATAATGCACAGATTTCAAGTAAGAAATATTGTCTATTATTATCCAACTACACTCCGTAGAGTACAAATAACGCCATAGACGAGTACAAATATCACGCGGTATTTGTACTCCAGAGAACCGATTAGACAGGTTCTCTCGCATCGCGCAAGCGAAGAACTGGATTAAAGCTGCGAAAAAAAAATGGCGGACAATTTAAATGATATTTCTGACGACGAAGGGTCGGAATGGCTGGCAAATGTAGATCGAAATGAATCGAGAGAAGAAAAACAGCTCGACGATCAAAACATTTCTTCGTTTATTAAAGAAAATAGAAACAGTAACACGACAACTCGCCACTTCCGTTCCGCTTCGTATGCTTCTGTCACGCACTCTAAGTAAATAAATATCCACGAAATTCGCCCGGACTGAAATAACAATTTGGTATGTTGGATAATAAATAACTTATTTGACGTTTTGTTGTGTAGTATCCCTGAGTATTTTTACTCGTTATTTGCATTTGACGAGCCCGTAGAGGGAGTCAAAATACGGCACAACTTGTAAAAATAAAGTCAGCGATACTACACAACAAAACGTCTAATAAGATGATATACTTTTAATCAAGATCTCCTCAAGAAGTCTTCGAAAAGACTCGATTGCAGCTAAGCAATCTTTGGACGCAGTCGGTAAATTTGTGAGAACTTACTGCGTGAGAGACCCATGCGAAATGGCACTTGTTTTGTATTTCATTGAATGGAAAAATGATAATATTATTTCATCCATCGGGTTTGCGAGCATAGTAATTCTCCTGGCTGTCTGCTATACAAGAAGAATTTGTTATTGGATCAACTTATAATCTCCTAATTTATATTTGTATTCATGCTCGTTAATTGTCCGCTTTTTTATTTTATTTTTAGTGTGAAGAGAAATTCTGTCTTGGTCACTTAGGGAAATAAAAATGATGTAATGGGGTTAATGGGGTTCATTATCCCCCTTACCTGAACACATAACTATGATTTGCTCTCTGCTGTACGAATAGAATTAGAAGCTTCTCTTGCGAGAGGAATGGAATTCCGTTGACGGTATTTGCACTGTGTATCCTTATTACATTAAACTTTTGCAATTAATATGGGCTTATTATAGCATGTCTGCTCGCCAGTGAGGCAAATTGTCGTTTTCTCCTAAGCGAGCACAATGACACCCTAGGTACAAGTTTGTAATTGTATTCATATATTTTTTTTCTTTTTGAAAAAAAAAAAAGGCAGGACAAAAAAAAAGAAACAATGACAGTTTTCTTTTGGTTTTCAATTTTCGACCATTTATAGCGTGGAAATATATTACGAACAACGAACACGAGGAACGAAACCTGACTTGGCGACGTCATCTTTTAAATGTACCTTTCTATCGTGAAATATATGGTGATCAGTTGTATCAAATTTAGGAAAAGTGTTTTTTGTCCTTTTTTTTTTCCAAATAACAACAATCTCGTGCTGCTAGGGTTCTTACTGGTGCCAATTATGATTCATTCCGCTGATATCATCCAGACCCTCTCTTGGGACACACTTGATGCGAAGCAGCTTCATGCTAAGTCAACATTGATGTATAAAATACTAAATGACGACACAGCGCCCAACCTTAGGAACTCCTTTGTTAAAAGGAATGTTGATCAGACTGATTACCACCTCAGAAATAGCGCTACAGATCTGACACTTCCTAAACCGAAGGGAGAGTTTCTAAAAAGAAGTTTTAAATATAGCGGCGCAATGCTTTGAAACCAACTCCTAAATGAAGCAAAACTAGCGGAATCGATATATTCATTTAATAAATGTATCAAAACGTAATTGGGTCATGTCACACCCCATGTGTTGATCATTTACTTAGTTTATAATATATTCTTAGTTTGTTATAGTTAAATTTTTGTAGATTTAGACTTACCCTTACTTAAACCTAGTTCATCTACTTACACTTAGCTCATAATAATTGAATTATTAGGATTTTAGACTTATGTTATTAATAATCTTGTATTATTAGTTATAGTTTCTTTTATTTCTGTACAAATATGCCCTCCATGGAAATCAGCTGAGTGTTGTTGGGGCTACCGTGTTTTTGATGCAAATAAAGTATACCTACCCACCTACCTACCTGAATTGTATTTGCCATCGCTAGGTATTCGACTGTTCAATGCCAACGACAAACCATCTGACCAATCAGAGGCCAGTGCACTGATGTTCAGGAGAAACTTTATTGACATATATTCCAACAGCTGGGGGCCTGGGGACATGGGCTGGGAACTGGAGGGGCCAGGCCCTTTATTAGCAGACGTCCTTGAAAAGGGAACGCAACTGGTAAGATCGATGAATCACAGGCGACCTACCATAACAGTATACTGTAGGGGTTACTAGAGAGTGAAAACCGAGTAATATAGGCTATTAACGCCAGAATTTCGCACAGCACGCGAAGTTTAATATTTAGTGATAAGAACCAGTCGAGTTTGACAAACTCTAGTCTACCAGCGAGCCTTAGGGCCTGATTACATGAGCCGGGCTGGCCCTGTTAGCCGGGCTGATTTCTTTTGTTTTGGTGGTCGCCAAAGCGTGAAAACAAAAGAAATCAGCCCGGCTAACCGGGCCAGCTCGGCTCATGTAATCAGGCCCTTAGAACAGTGCATTAACGGCGCACAAGATCAACACAAAAGCAGGTCGCTTACGATGTTCTGAAATGAAGTTTTCCTTCCTGTTGTAGGGAAAAAAAGTACTTTCAATAAATTTTTGACAAAATTATGGATTTTTATGGGTATAGTGAAATCTCGAAACTCCTATTTATGAATTTATGAATCTGGATAAGAATAAATGTATGTATTAATTATCTAATCTAATGTAATGTGTTGTGATGCAGGGTCGACGTAAAAAAGGATCGATCTTTGTATTCGCAGCTGGGAATGGCGGACTTTCGGGGGATAGTTGTGCGTTTAGTGGTTATGTAAACAGCATTTATACGATCGCAATATCTGGAGTTAACTGGGATGGAGAGGTTCCTGGCTACGCTGAACGGTGCGGAGCTATCATGGCTGTAACCTATGGTCAAGATGTGATTAAAAGGGGGAACGTCAAAGCTCCAATGGTAAGCAGTGAGCCCGATCAGCGATATTGGAGAAACCCACTCGTGGTGCTAAATAAGCTTTATCTTAACACATCATCTTTTAGCTCTATTCTAGAGTTGAAAGTTATACGAAAAATGCCATACTTTCCCAAAATGTAAATTTTCAAAAACTAGGCTAACATACGCTGCAGACGAGCCCGCCAAGGGGACTTATTTTGAAAGTATAAATCAAATTATTGAAATGAGTATTATAAATGAAGAGAAAGTAACGGGACGTAAACTTTTATGCGGACGTCTCTGAGATCATTCTTCCGCTCGAAACTCTATAGAGTCTAAATAATAAAGTCGTACCAGAGACGACTTTATGGAACATTTCACGTGGTAAACGGTAAGCTGTTTACAACTGCTCTCATTTTTCCTCGAGCTTGGCTCTCGGAAAACTGTGCGCATCTCAGAACAAATAATGTTCCCGGTCTAATATCTACGCATACTTTCGCGCCAAATAGAGGTTATTGTTCATAGAACTTAACAGTAATTTTCATTTCCCAAGGACTGAACCAGGAGCTTTCTTCTTTGTGCTGTTATTTTCTCTTCTTTAAAATTTGAATAAACTCGTCAGTTTCCTTGCAAATTTAGCCTTATTAAAAACTTTTAAGAGTCCCACACCGTATATCCCACCGCAAGTTGTTTGAAGACGTATAACCTTTCACCGAGGTGCATACGCACACCACATATAGGCAAATGTTTCCCTGCTTTAACACGCTCACAGAGTGTGCAGACATCCACAATAAATTTCATTTAAGATCCTCGCCAAAAAAAAAAAAAGAAAAAGAAAAAGAGAAAGGAAGAAATGAATAGAAAGTATTTTATTACGTTAATTAACTTGGCTTGACTTTCGTTGGGTCCCACTCGCTCTACATCTGTTATGGTTATTAAGGGAACGAGATGTATCAGCATTTTAATAAAAATTTGATTCGTTCCCCAGATAACAACCAAAAATGGCAAAGGTTGCACAGAGGATTTTCCAGGGACTTCCGGCCCTACTGCCATGGCTTCTGGGATCATTGCTCTGGCATTAGAAGCAAAGTAAGTGGGCTGAAAGGAGAAACGAAAGGCGAAATATTTCTAACTTTTGTCCATTCCTCCTCCATACTGCTATTACTTTAATTAATTTCTTTTATAAGTTTTGCTCGTGTTTTAGCCCTCAGACGCTGTTCAACGAATTTTAGCCGCTAAAGAATCTAAGTCAGCCGTTGGAATAGGCACTTATGTAACCCTTTGTTTTATTCAGTGAGAATTTGACATGGCGCGACATTCAGCACCTGATCGTAAGAAGCTCAAAACCTCTTCGCCCTCCGAACAGGGTTAGGACGTCGAGTATTAAGCGTCGCAATCCTTCTTGGAAGGTCAACGACGCCAATATTCAAGGTACAGTTCCTCCTCTCCTTTCTTAAATAATGAATCTCAGTAACATTTGCAAAAAAAGTTACTTAAATTCATTTCTGTTGGGACTAGCAGATAGTTGACTGTCTGATCTTTACGCAAGTATATTCAAATAGTGTTTCTTCTAATGATAAGCGTTTTCCGAAACTTACAGTTAGCCATTATTTTGGCTTTGGATTGATGGATGCGTATGATATGGTTCGTTATGCAAAGAAATGGACTTCTGTTCCACAACAACTACACTGTGAAGTTGATCTACAACTCTCTCGGTAGGTACTCTTTTACAACTACAATCGAACCCGTATTAAATGGTAACCCTTAGGTTGACAGCTAATAACAGGCTCCACAGATTAGGGTTAATATTAAAAACGATACATAACACGCCTGCACTTAATTTACAGCTGATATAACTTACAGAATCTTGCTTAAAAGTACCACTTACTTTGATTTTGGGTGAGAAACAGGGATTAAAAGTTACTTCCAAGAATATTCCTAGTTTTATTAGACTTTGGTTCCGCTGAGTGACCGAAACGGGTGAAAACGCAACAAACAGGCCGCTGGGACTAAAATAAGGTGACCCAGACCGCTTAACTTTCAGGGTCGACTGTATTTTTCTTGTTCTTGTCCGTGCAAATTACGTCAAAGCGGAAAAAACACGCTAAAGAACATCACGAGAAACTGAGTTCCAGTGAAAGCTGAAGTACGAACTGAAAGTTAGTGAACCAATATACAATGTTTATTTTCTTGAAGCTCAAATTCGTCAGAAGAGATTCCCTGGAGCGGGCAGTTAGTTCTCTCCTTGTCCGTAAACAAAAGCAATTGCGGTATCCGATTCCTGGAGCACGTGCAAGTTGAAATTGACCTCACCTTTCTACGCCGAGGTTACCTGGAGATGAGTTCAAAATCACCTAGAGGAACTTGGTCCCAGCTCCTTTATCCCAGGGCGTTCGACAGTCTTACAGGCCAAAAGAAGTTTGAAAAGTGGACAGTAAGCAGCCTACATTATTGGGGAGAAAAGCCTGATGGAGACTGGGAAATAATTATTAAAAACTCGAAGCCATGGAGAAGAACCAGAAATGGTGATTATACTCTGCTATACATTAACACGCTGTCTTTGTGTTTCTTAGACTTCTAAATGAAGAATTTATTCACTCTGTTTTCCTGACTAGTCAACCATATCACTATTTTAATTCAAGAATATATCGTCATAACATTCCATTTGCTTTTTCATTAGTTATCACCTGAGAGCGAAAAGCTGTCTATTACTAATGATCTGCATTCCCTCTCACTCTGTTCTCAGCTTTAACCAATTCCTTCTCAACTGTGGAGTTACCAACACAATTAAACATCATAAAGTCAACAGGTAGGTAATCAACATCCATCTATCGATCAAATTTGTCAATCGAAAAAAGGAAAAAACAGTACGACTTTTATTCCCTCCTCCAACTTGATTAGTGTCTATAATTGTGGCGTTGGAGGGGACGTCATGCGAATAGCGACAGCCTTACTGTCAAACTTCGAATGTTACAAAATCGTGCTTCACGAGTAACCACAGGTGCCTTTTATTAGATATCTTTTGAGGAGATTTTCGGGTAAAACTCGGCTGGTTCAATTTCAAAGAATGAAGAGAAAGACTAGCTTTGCCGGCTGTTAAAACAAACTAGTAACGTAACAGTTTTGGCGACACAGGGACAGAAGTATGGAATGCGTTACCGAACGAAATGAAACATGAAAAATCAATGACGAAATCGAGTTGCCACCCTACGTTTTGTCCGCCTAGGTTGTGACTAATGTGCAAGTGACCGCGGGGCTTCATTTAAAGTATGAAATAAAGGTTACCTCTATCTGAATGATTGTACAGCACAAATTAAACTTATATATTCGAGGACCAATTTCTCAATATGTTCTTTATTCAGTTGGAAATTCTTCAGATTGGTCGTCCTGGTCTGAATGTAGCGTAACATGCGGTAATGGAATCCAACAACGTACCCGCCCATGCACCCAAGGATCATCATGTGAGGGATCTGACAAAGAAACAAAGACATGCAGTAGAAGAATTTGTCCAAAACCAGGTAAACTTCTTACTTCCAGCACGCTACCCACTGAATTAACAAGTCTTGTGCAACTACAATTTGTGTACCCACTACTCAAGGTGATATCTTTAAATTCTCTGAGTTATAACTAGTAATTTTTTATATTAATGTAGGATGAAAAGATGGCGAAAAATCACGTCGTTGAATTGCAAAGAAGATTTGTACAGAAAAACAGCAGAGGTCCAGACTCAATCAATCATTCAATCAATCAATCAATCAATCAATACTTTATTTACCCACGTAGGGTTAAGGAGCTCGTAGAGCTCGTTCAAAATTCATACATACATAGGTTACATACACAAATAGGTTAATTGACCACTCCCCATAGGGGCTTTTCAGGGCCAAC